CTCCATCCTTATCTTTTGTTAAGATTTTCATTATACATGTCTAGTAAAAGAATATTGAGGTAATATGGTCAAATTGAAATCTGAAGAGAAAAAAGTTAAAACTATTCCTTAAGCTTGATCTTTCAAGCTCTGTGTGCTAGTATCTGTTTGTGTGGATTGCTGTGTGTGCCATATCCCAGAGGATTTCAACTCGTCTTTCGTTGTGCCTTTTTACTGATGAATAGTTTAGCACACGTCGCTGCATAGAAAAAACATAAAATAGATTCAGCATTGTGCATATTTTTGTTCCTTATGGCTATTCATTTTTCTCTGGTACGAGACTGGGTATATGAAACTGAACAGTAAGCAATATTGTGATACGTAATGGTGGCAGGCAAGTAGTGATCAACAAATAACTTTATCCTCCGCCAGATAATTGATGTTTTCCTTCTTCAATTGTGCATATCCCGCTAAATTGATCTCTAATGTCTTGTTTCTTGTGGTAGGATGTCGTAGGCTGTGCTTGGAATCGTGCTGACCCTCGCCCGTCATGGATGTGCCTGTAACAAGATTTATACTTTCTTCAGTTAATTTTGTTTATTTTCTGGACGTATCACTGTACCTAAGCCTTTATTTTCATGGGAAGACAATCATTTGTTAATTGCAATTTCATCTCTAAAATTTCGTTTGAGTTATTGTGAAAGTTAACCATGCTTAAGTGAAAGAACACGTGGCAGATGATAAGAGTTTATGATGGTGAGCAATAATGCTCCCAATAGTTTCAATAGTCTGATTTCAAATAAAAAAAAACTACTTGAATGTAAAACGCATTGAAGGCCCTAAAAACTTAAGACCTCGTTTTCAATGGCTCGTAGAGTCTCAGAGCAATTCCACGCCTAAAAAAATGAGCTGGTTCAAAGTTCATTTAATCCACCCAAAATGAAATTTTCAATGGCTCGATAGTAGTGATGATGATGATGATGAATATCAAAATTATCAAGTTGAAGGATCACATGAGATAGAGGCATTAAGAAATAGAATAGCAACAAGTTTGATGAATGCATCTAATTAGACTACTTTCAAGTACATTAACAATATTGTACTAATGAATCCTAGCTATTCACTCTAAAATATTTCTATTAAAGTAGTTTGTCATACTAATTAATATTTAAGATAAAGTTTATAAATATTTTTCTTCTAAAAATAAAATATATTTAGTAATTCACTTTTATTTGTTAAGAAAATTAAATTAATAGCACATCTAGTAATATACCCTTTTTGGTCATTTCACACAGTCACAGCTGTTTTACAAAAAAGTTTACCAAACACTATTATACTGCTTTTTGTTTCCAAAAGCACTTTTACAAAAAAGTTTACCAAACACTTTGCTGGCTTTATTTCACAGCCGCTTATTCTCACAGCACAGCCACTTATTCTCACAGCAGCTTTTTTTCAAAGCACAGTAATACCAAACCAGCCCTACCTCTTGTAAGATATTACTTTTGTAGTATTGTGTTTAGATGAACTCTCCCGACTGTTTTAGCTACGTGTACTACTTTGCAACCTATGTCAAGGACGATCAAGTCTCTTATGCGCACCATTAGGGTCTGTAGGAGAGAATTTCCGATCAAGAACATTCTTCGTTTGTCGTGCTTTGGCGATCTCATGCAAATAATTCCCAACAATGCATACTTTTTTCCACACGAAAAGCAGTTCAAACCCGAATGAATGATCAAATAACTTGATCTATTCGCACATTTCGATACCTCTATCTAATTCCGGAAACTTCAAGACAAACAAGCACCAAAGCATTACCCTTACCCAAATCACCGCATTTATGCATGAACTTATCGATTTCGAGACATGGGTTCTACTAAAATCGAAAATTAAGCAACACCCATTTGATCAATTTAACTTTAAAATCAAAATCCGTACGAAAAAAAACCACATGCAATTGAGATTTTATTCATGTTCTATCACCACAACACCTAACAAGAAAAAAAAGACCAGAACAGCGAATGATTCGAAGAAGGAAAGGAATCTGTGGATCTCAATTTAATTTAATTATGGTATTCAATTGAGTATTTTAATCTGATTCAGGATTTTGGTTCACAAAGTTGATTTCTTTACACAATCTGAATTTTTTGTGTGGAACCCACTTTCGTAATCGTATTTAGATTAATTTTTCATTTAATTGTTGTTTTGTTAAATCTGAATAGTGATTGATACTATATGTTCATTGTCAAGATTAATACTTTTCCAAATTTGGGGTTTCTTGTTTTGTTTTTGGTTTTATGACTTTCCTTTCGCTAACATTGTTTGTGTAATGATTAGTCATTGCAAGCCAGTGTCGAAGGAGGAGCGAAATGGTTGGTTAATAAATTCAAAGGTTAGTTTTCTCCTCTGGCTCTGTTTACTTGCATTGTCTGTTAAAGTAAACCTCACATAATGTTGTTTATATGACTGATTTTACGAGTCCTGAAAGTTCGGACATTGTAGTTGTATTAATTCATGGGGTTTATATGCAATACGTCTATGTAGTGGCAATGAAAAGTGAGTTAGCGATCGCGGATTCTGGCCAAAGTATCGGTGAGCTCGAGTTGTAGAACGCGTTGTGGTTGAGGTTATGCCCGAGATGGTTTGTTCCTTAATCTTAATTATGCTGGGTAGATATGTGTATATTTATACAACCCTTTTCCTATGGCTTTAACTTGCTCAGGCTCTCGAAAATGTCGTATGTGGAGTACAAGTAAGTAACTTGCTGCTGGGATTTCTTGAAATAGCCCAACATTACAAGGCAAAAGAAAAAATAGCGAGTTCTATAAGTTGTATTTGTGCTGTCGTGGACGGCGGAATGGTGCTTCCAAGGTCTAGGTTTTGGATTGTATAAACTGCTATCCTCATGGGTGAACTAGTACTATATTCGTTCACTGATTTTTTGGGCGACAGAGTCATTACTGGTGTAGTAAATTGAAAAGAATTGAAGATCATCTCGGTGAGTATTTTTTGCTATCTTAAGCTGCTTTGCTTCTTTGTTTTTAGATAGTTATTATTCTAGTTAGGGTCTTGCTTTTGTCATTCGAATCAGGGTTCCACTTCATTCTTGTTTTTTGTTCTGTTGTCGATCAATATTACTACAGTGAAGTAATCTTGATTTGTATTGCTAGAATGAAACAAGATTGTTCTTTGTTTTAAATAGCTACCACTTCCCTTAATTATCTTGATTTGTCTTGCTACAATGAAATAAGATTGTTGTTTTTTCATTTGCGTTTTTTATATATGTTCAGGGATTATTCGGATGATGTACGCAACACATGATGCAGATGCTTGTAAGTTGACGAAGAGGGAACCAGATTATTTACTTGTAAGAATGTCACTGCATCGAATACGTATATTTTCTTCTTTGCATCCCAACATATAGGATCTCGTCATGTTTTCTCTTTTACAATCAGCATTTTACCAAAAATAAAAAGTACACGGAAGAAGGGGGATTGCTCGTGAAGTTCTAAGATTGGTCTTGATTGTATCATGGTTTACACAAATTGGTTGCCTATGTATATGAAAATGTTCTCGCATGGTTTGCACAGATGGGAGTGCACACTTGTTACTGCAAAGGGGAACTCTTTTTTTTTCATAGCTTGTCTTATACGAAAGTGTTCTTTCATGGTTTTAATGCCCATCCTGTGCTTCTGACTGCAGATTCTTTGTTCGTGGTGATGGGCCTTTTGGAGCGCTTGCCTAGTTTATTGTTGTTCAACTCGGTAACTTTCACATTCAATTGTATTTCAAGAACACTCGTACCTCCGATTGGTGAGCAGAGATGCATTTCTTTTCTTTTTGTTTCCCAAATTATTTGCAGACTTTGTGTTTGTAATAACTCTAATTCTTGCACTGTTGCCGAGGTGGACATACCTCTGTTTTAATTTGAGCCTCTATGCAAAGGACTGAGAGTAGAGCTGCTGCAGGGACATAATTTCTCGCAGGTTCGAGGGGAGGAAGTTAGTTGTCGAACTAACTTCCTAGCAAGGAGTGACATATTTCCTGTAGGATTGTAGACGGTATAAATGTTTAAATACTGGAAGTGAAATATTTTCTTTAATATCAAAGAAACCAAATAAGTGTTTTTTTGTTTTGTGAATTATGAATTATATCAATGCTTTTGGATTTTATTTAACTTTGAACCTGCAGTAAAATTTCAAATGAAATAATTTGGTGAAGCTGTTAAAAATAATGTCATTGTGGCATCTCATTTGACGCCCCTTTTATTTTATTCTTTTTATAAACCTAAGACCACTTATTTGCGACGCGTAAGTTGACGTCGCAAGTCCGTAGTTAATACTATTTGCGACGCGCTTAAAGCGTTGTATATAATTAACCAAACATTTACGACGCCACTTTGTTGCGACGCGTTGCTACCCGTCACAGGCCTGTCGTAAAAGGACTATTGCGACACTTTTAGCCGCTTTCGCAACGCTTTTTGTCCGTCCGAAAAGGCCCTTTTTTTGTAGTGTGGGGTGTTAATTCAATTATTTTGGTAAATTTAATTTGTTGGGTGGAAGTTCTTGCACGGGGAGAGTAGCAAAGTGAAAGAGAGAAGGATAGAAGAGTCATTTTCTCATTATAGCATTACTCGTTAATTTGTGCCTAATTATAGAAAATATTTTATTGAGGTTCAAAACAATAATCGATCACTGATATATGACTAACTTACAAAGATTTCATTGATTTTGAATAAATAATTTTAGCTCCAAATTCCTTTACTTTCTCACACAGTACGTAATCCGGATACATATCTATATAGGATCGGTATCAAATTTAAATATACCAATACCACAAGGAGTTAGTTCTCTCGCTAATTTTAATCCCTTGTTTCACAAGTAAGCCCTTAGATGTGTTGGACTTAATCTCTAACCGGACTACAAGAAAACCGATAACTCTAACTTATTCTTTAGCCTATATATATCATTCATATGTTCGTATGATCAGAACTCCAAAACCAACAAGATCGTCTTTAAGGAGCAATGGATTCGAAAGCAAAACGCCAAACTCCTCCTGGAGATAGGATCAGTGAATTACCGGATGAAATTCTTTGTCACTTACTTTCGTTCCTTCCAACTTTACATGCCGTGCGGACCACGATTTTGTCTACAAGATGGAACAACGTATGGTGTACCAGTGCTCCCATTAGCCTACAGTTTGATAGCAGAGATTTTTCTTCTGGACCTCAACAACAAACGAGGTTTATGAGATTTGTTGACTGCGTGATTAAATTATGCGGCTCATCATGCAACATTAGAAGACTATGTCTTCACTGTCACTCTTTCGCTTTTAAAGATGAAGATTTCTCTCGTATTCATAGATGGATATCCACTGCCATAAAAAACAATGTCATTGACCTTGATCTTTATTTGTTTAGTAATAATAATTATGATTCCTTCGAGAAATTTGAAATGCCTCCTAGCGTTTTCCAGTGCAGATCATTGGTGAGTCTGAAGTTGGACACAAATTGTCTTACCTATAGTCCATCTACATCAGGTTGTTTCCCAAGCCTCAAGTACCTTCATGTTACGTTTCGGGACTATATTAATGAGGGAAGGGTAAAAATCTTTCTGAACTGCCCTGCTCTTGAAGATTTGACTATAGTTGGAAACGTGGGTGGAGATGTTTTGGAACTTAACATCTCCGCACCTCAGATGAAGACGTTAACAACTGATAATCTCGACTGCAAGTTTTTCGTTGATGCCCCGAGACTTGAAAACCTCAATGTCAACATCGATTGGCCTTCTTTGACGTCGAATTATGTTTTGGAGAATTCTAAATCTTTGGTCAAGGCCAAAGTTCATGTCAAATATATAGCACCAAAACACAAGCATCGATATCCATCTTATGTTCCCAATATATCTGAGTTACTTGCAGGTACTTCAAGTGTTAAATATTTAACATTTTTAGCTCCTCTGTATCTGGAAGCACGCTATCTGCCGGATTATGAGAATCTGAACCAACTGGAGTTAGATCTTCGTTGCTTTTGCTGGGACCTTGTAGTAGAGTTGCTCAAGAAATGTCCTAGTATGAAACACTTGATCTTAAACCTTCATCGTACAGCATGGAATCACGATTACAAGCCAGTCAATCCACCAACGCTTGTGCCGGGGTGTCTCTCGTCACACCTTAAGACTGTCTCTATGCGTGGATTCCACGGAGAACAGGAGGAGGTTCAAGTGCTCAAGTACTTGTTACACTACGGTGAGGTTTTGAATAAGATTACTATTTCTACAAGGAATTTCGTAGGTAATCCCGCATGTCTTACAAAAGAGGACTTGTATAAGGAAATTTTGTTGTTTCAAAAGGGTTCAGAGACATGCCAAGTTGAAGTTATCTAGAAGAATGCAAGCAGTTTTAGCTTCTCTGATAAGAGAAGGGCCGGGTTCGTATACTCTCAAAGTTGTAATTTAGACATCATGATATTTTCTTATTGTGAATGCAATTACGCTCCAAAAGCGTTTTAATTTTTATAAATAAATGTGAACTAGAGATTCGCGCAACACACATTTTTTGAGAGTTGTATATATATATTAGATTCACATTTTTACATGGACATGTTGTCATGACAAATATTATATGACGTCCTATTTAGTAAAATCTAAATTCTAAAAATTGTTGAGGCAAATTTGGAAAACAATATAACGGCCGGCCTCGTAATCATCATCTTTTTACCACTTTTTGTTTTTCTTGTTTCCTAATCTATTTACAATAACAAGGAGAACATGATTCCTTAATTTTAGGCTAATTACAACATAAGAAGCCATGTTGGACAAAGTACTAAACCCTAGCTTTGTATTGTACCTGGAGTAAAACTCTAAGGGTGCGTTTGTTGCACCGGACTATCTCGGACTGGATTAGCGTTAGGGACTAAGCTAGACTGGCTTAGATTAGACTAAGCTGAACTGACTTAATGAAACGTTTGGTGCAGTGTCAGACTAAAAAGAAGGATAATAACAAACTACAATATTATATTTTTTAATTCATATATAATAATATTATATTAATTAATTCTATCTTTTTTATTCTAATAATACTCTCCCTCTCTCTGGAAGCCTTCATCCTTTTCTCCCTCTTTATCTCCCTTGTTCTCTTCGTCCCACACTCTCCTTCCCTTTCCTTTTTTTTTTCTGATTAATTGCCAAAAAAATTCTGCAAAACGAAGAATCGAGCTTGGTTTCTCTGGTTTTTGTTCTGTGCAAGATTCCAACTGGGGGGAGCTTTCCAATTCTGTGGATTCAATCAGAGCTGCAAGTCTTTGGAGTGGCGGAACCGGCCTGCAGCGATTCCCAAGCGTGCTTAGAATATCTTCTATGCAGGAGAGGCCGACTGCTTCTGAGTCGTCGTCGCAGCAGCATAACTACAGTACCATCAGGATGGAGCAACTGTTGTCGTCGCGGCCAAGTTCGAGCCGAGCTCGGATCTCGGCGGAGCAGAAAGAGAAGAAAGCGAGGAGAGAGGAAGAGGGGAAGGGGGAATTGGCGAAGGGGAATGATGATGGCTCTCGGCGTTTGTGAACATAGAAGCAGCGGAAGACGCGAGGGAGTTAGTCCCCGCTAATCCCATGGTTCTCGACGGGTTTGCTAGCGAGGGAGTTAGTCCCGGCGAGTCCCTTCTAATCTCATTAAACTTAGTCCCGGACTGTCAACAAACATGGGACTAGATTACTACATAATCCAGTCCAAGCCAGCGAAAGCTAGCGAGCTCAAACAAACACACCCTAAACCCTAGTTGACTAGAGGATTGGACTTGTGTTGATGGGATTCCCGATGGCCTCCAATCTCTCAATCTTCTAACATTCTCTCTCCAAAATCGTTTCAAATTCTTCTTAACTAGGTTTGCTACGTATTATCTGATTAATTTTGTTTGTCTTTTCTCTGGGAATGTTGGAACCGTACGTAACAGATAAAAGGAATCAGTATGTTGACTTTCATCTTTTCATGTCTTCGCGGAACTAGAGAAGACAATTACAGAGTCCAAGTTTTTCAAAATTTGAATTAATACTTTTTTTCATCTTTTTATATCTCTGCCGTCAATCGATTGTGTTCGATTTAATAGTTTAACCAGGGCCGAAGTGGCTGGTGTTTCTTAAGCAGTGAGATGGCGCGCTGATGCTTTATGGTGAATCGCTTATGGGATGGTTCCTAGGAAAGTCATTGTCTATTCTCACAAGTGTTAGTCTGTGAATTAAAAGATGGTGGAGGGAATAGAAACGTCATGAAGCTATGAAACTAGCGGCTATTTGGATCTTCATTTTCAGACTGTATTTCAGAGGAGGAGATTTGCATTTCTGCTGTCAAGATGGGTGAGTATTCACGACCTAAGCTAAGCAGTAATCCGTTTGTCTGCATATTTAATAGTGTGAAAATATATATCCCCATCAATTTTAAAAACAAAAAAATAAAAAAATTTACACACTTTATATGTGGGGTACCGTATATACTAATATTATATTATCTTATTCATATTTATTAATGTTTTTTTATTTCTTTTAGAACCACCTCTCTCTAAACATATTCCTCGTTTCCTCCGTCCACTTACTCACGCGTTTTTCTCCCATTTCGCCTTTTTTTATTAGAATCTTCCTCCTTTACTTTCCGCATTCTCTCCCTTCCCCATTCGTGTCCACTTGCGGCACTTGACTACTCTCTTTCCCTCCAAACAGATATCATGAACCCGTGGACCAGCAATGTATTCGATCATTCTTTCATTTACTTTTCTAAACAAGTGCTAAAACTGGAGTTGCCGATCAAGCAAGGAAGAGGGCAGTTGCAAACTTTCATTAAATGATGGAGATGATGGTTGGACATAGTATGCTGCTATTGTAATGTTGCATTTCGGATGTTATAAGTGTCACCTGAAACGTTGCGTTTCCACGTGGACAACCCTAATTGGTTTCTTTCCACGTGGACAACTCTAAATCTCTCTCTCTTTCTCTCTCTATCCATCTCTCATTTTGTCATCGTGATTTTCTTACTCTTCTTCGTTTTCTTGATAATTTGTGATAGTGAGTGCAAGGTATCTTTGATTTTCTTTTTTAGTACATTGTGCAATTCCACTACTTAATTTTTACTGTATTTAATTAGAGGGTTGGGGTTTGAGATTTACATGTTCTTGATTTCTCCATCTCTCTCAATTCTCAACAGTCAAGAACGTAAATCTCAAACCCCAACCCTCTAATTAAATACAGTAAAAATTAAGTAGTGGAATTGCACAATGTACTAAAAAAGAAAATCAAAGATACCTTGCACCTCCTCCTGAGTCACTGGGTTCATCATAGCTGTTCAAACTCGATAGAGATCGAGAAATCAAGAACACGGAGACTAACAAAATCGCTATCACAAATAATCAAGAAAACGATTGAGAGCGAGAAAATCACGATGACAAAATGAGAGATGGATAGAGAGAGAAAGAGAGAGAGATTCAGAGTTGTCCATGTAGAAAGAAACCAATTAGGGTTGTCCACGTGGAAACGCTGCGTTTCAGATAACACTTATAACATCTGAAACCCAGCGTTCCAGTAGCAGCAAGACTATGTCCAATCACTCGATCTCCATCATTTAATGAAAGTTTGTAAACGCCCTCTTCCTTGCTTGGTCGGCAACTCCAGTTTTAGCAATTGTTTAGAAAAGTAAATTAAAGAATGATCTGGTCATTGGGTGGTATATGTTTATACTGTATTTGGGTAGTGTCCAAATCGTCTTGACCATATTCAAAACGTTGACCATGTCCAAGCCGTATTCAGGATGGATCTGAGACATGTCAAACCCTCCGATATTTCGAGATTTTGGAGTGTCCTTTCAACCTAAGTCTTCACAGGTTCTGGAATTTGGAAAATAAACTAGCTCGTCAAATGCATACCAGCTTAACTGCCACCTCATCCCCAGTTTGTAAACTTCCTAGCAATCACGTGCTCCATGATGCAGCAATGTCAAATACGATTCGACCCACAATATTATGCTCTATACTAATCCTAATCTAATATATGAAGAAGGTATACAAATATAATATATTAAGAAGTTATGCTAATCTAATATGTGAAGAAGGTTCTAGTCTTATATGAAGGCGAGCAGTTGATGCAACGGAAAAGTTATTTTTTTGTGACAAAAAAGTCACGAAGTTCAAGTCGTGAAAACAACTTTTTTACAAAGCATAAATAAGACTGCGTACGATAGACGTTCACATCTTCTATAATCATAGAATACGTATTAGTGCTGCATAGTGTTTAACCAAAAACAAAATTGTGTTGCATTGTGTGCTCTCCACACACAATTGCATGCAAGGCCACATTGGAGCGTGTGTGCGGATTATATGTGCCAGTCTTCAAGCGTGTGTGGTCACGTGTTTCTCACTCTCACTTTAATTGACTCAATTACCATCCGAAAATTGTAAGTTAATATAAAATATAAATACAAAGTTAAGAAAAGTTAATTGGTAATTAATTATATTCACTACGAGATGGTCTAGTGGCTAGAGATAAATTTCAGGCCTAGCATATTTTGGGTTCGTTTTTAACGCATCACACGATGGTAATCAAAAGAAGGCTAAATTGCTTTTATGGATCTTCCTGACTTCTTGGAATGATTGTTGTGGCGAAGCTACTCATCTGATATTTGGTCTTAAAAAAGAAAAAAAAAAAAGGTAATGAATTTACATTTTGTTTTATTCGTGGGGACCATATTACTAGATAAGGACTACACATGGTATAAAAATTTGGAAGCAATACATAGATTTAGGAGCCAAATGTTTATTGAAGCCTTTCACTTCCAAATTCCAAAACTGGCGCCAAAAAAGATTCCCGCTACAATATTAAAACTTTGAAAAATGTCCAGCCAAGGCTTCCCTCGCAAGCTTCTTTCCCTTAAAACCTTATTTCCATAAACGTCCTTCTTCATTTACCATAAAGCCCTTCACCAAACCCAATCTTCGAACCACCACTGGTCCAACACTCACCAAAAGGGTATTTTACCAACAGAGATTTCAAATGACCGTTACACCCCTCTTCACAGTTCACAGTTCACACCATCCTCATCCGGTAGCCGCAAACGCAAACCACCGAAATCGGACAGCGCGCCTATTCACCCTCCTGAATTTCCCAAAGTACCCTCGTGTTTGGTTCATTCTCCCGCAAGCTTCTCGTAAATTTGAAATCACCCGCTCCCAAAACCCCAATTCAAAAAAATTCAAAAACCCTCCGCCCTCTCTATATATATTCAGTCCAATCCCACCCTAAATAATCAATCCTAAACCACAAATATTCACAAAATTTGATTTCGTTTCTGAAAAATCCCAAATCGAGTTTCATCACAAAAATGCCTGCCTTCCCAGAAGAGCCGCTGCTAGCCCCGAACCCGGACCGCTTCTGCATGTTCCCAATCCAGTACCCTGAAATCTGGGAAATGTACAAGAAGGCGGAAGCCTCCTTCTGGACCGCCGAGGAGGTCGACCTTTGCCAGGACGTCCGCCACTGGGAAGCTCTATCCGACGGCGAGAGGCACTTCGTCTCGCACATCCTCGCCTTCTTCGCCGCTTCCGATGGAATTGTCCTGGAGAATCTCGCCGGAAGGTTCATGAAGGAGGTCCAGGTCGCCGAGGCCCGCGCCTTCTATGGGTTCCAGATCGCCATTGAGAACATCCACTCCGAGATGTACAGCCTCCTTCTCGAGACATACATCAAGGACTCCGACGAGAAGCACCGCCTCTTCCACGCGATCGACACCATCCCCTGCGTCACGAAGAAGGCCCAGTGGGCCCTGAGATGGATCGACGGCTCTGAGTCTTTCGCGGAGCGAATCGTGGCCTTTGCCTGCGTGGAAGGGATTTTCTTCTCTGGTAGTTTTTGCGCGATATTTTGGCTAAAAAAGCGCGGTTTAATGCCGGGACTGACTTTCTCGAACGAGCTGATCTCACGAGACGAGGGCTTGCACTGCGACTTCGCGTGTTTGCTGTACTCGCTGCTGAGGAAGAAGCTGAGCGAGGATCGGGTAAAGTCGATAGTTCGGAACGCGGTGGAGATCGAGAAGGAGTTCGTGTGCGACGCGCTGCCTTGTGCCCTGGTGGGGATGAACGGCGATCTGATGAGCACCTACATCGAGTTCGTGGCGGATCGTTTGCTTGGCGCGTTGGGATACGGGAAGATGTACAACGTCCAGAACCCGTTCGATTGGATGGAGCTGATCAGCCTCCAGGGGAAGACCAACTTCTTCGAGAAACGCGTTGGCGAGTATCAGAAGGCGTCGGTGATGAACAGCATCAACGGCAACGGTGGGTCGCATGAGTTCAAGATGGACGAGGATTTCTGATCGTCTGATTGAGTGATGGATATCGCTTTTGTAATATCTTTGTTTTTTTATATAATTTTAAAATTAGGTTTGTTTTTTTGTTGATTTTTCAGTGTCATGTTCGAAATTATAAATGAAAGATGCGATATTCCCATAATCTTAGTTTATTTTTAGGAAAATTAATAAAAAAATGATTTAAAAATCTTGAATTTTAATGAAAAAGATAAAATAAAAAGTAAAATGAATAGTATTATAATTGATTTTTTAATATAAAAATAAGATTTTTTGTTAAAATAAATAGTAATGAGAATGTTTTTTTAAAAGTTATTTTATTTTTAGAAAACTAATGAAAATGATTTAAAAAATTTGAGTTTTAATGATAAGGACAAAATAAAAAGTAAGTGAATAGTATTAGATTTAATTTTTTAATGTAAAAATATGATTTTTATTAAAATGAACAATACTGTGAATTTTTTAATCTTTTGTTAAAACTTCTTATATTTTTTTCCTAATTTAATTTTTGAATTGTGTGAACAGAGTTATTACTTTTTATTTTTTTATTTGTTACTTTTTGAGTGAGAAAATAATTAAGAACAAAAATGAAATGGCTTAGGAAAAGCCAAGGTGTCTTTTTATCGACCTCATCCTTAGCGGCCATAGCCGAAGCTTGAAAACTGAGTTCGTAGTTGCAGAGCTCCTCCGAAATGCTGTCGAGGGAACAGCTGCTTCATCTTTTCGATCGATTCTCTTTCCTCACATCTCAGCCTGGTACATTTTCCTCCCTATTGTTCTCGCGCGTACTTTCCCTTTTTTTTTTTTTTTTGGTGAATTTTTCTTCCATTTCTTTATTTGGATTTGCAGAGGTGAAGAAAAGAATCGCAGATGGTGTTGAGGACAAGCAGGTGAGTGAATCACCATTATGTTATGAATTAGTGAACCGGGTTCTGTAATTTTGGTATAGTTTTTATACATTCGTGGTTGTTTGAAATTATTTGTGGTGCAATTGTTTTTGGTCCGAGTAACCAGTTCTTCTGGGGATCAAATCGAGGGGAATGCTGGGTTTCTTCCCCTCGCCGCAGAAACCTGACTAGTATATAGTTCCGGCTGAACTTTTGGCAATGGTGTTTTTGTTTTAGTTGTTGAATGTGATTATTAAGTATTGTGCAGGAAGCTGTAGCTGTAACTACTGCGATCCAGGAGGAGATATTTTTGGAGATGGGGATTGGTAAGTTTTATCTTCAAATGCCAAGCATATCTTTCATCCAAATGATGAACTGCAAGTACTCGTTTTTCGTTAACTTTGGTAGTAGTTTGTGATCTAAAATTGCTGCGTTATTGGTATCGCTAAGCCCTATGCTGAATTTACTTACCCGTCTCTCTTGATACTGATACCGTTTAAGTTTTAGGATATCTCTAAACCAAGTGGATCCTTCACTTGGTTCTCTCTTCCCCAGTTCATCGTTGCTATGTTGAATAGTAAAAGCCTTATACATAGTGATTCTTTAAGCAATTACTGAATACTCACTTTGGTTCACTAGTCGATTGTGTTCATGTATATTTGATTGGAAATCTCGACAAGAGTAAATTATCATGCTGCAGTTATACATCTATTGGTTCAATTTCTTCTTTATGTCGAGTTGAGATCCAGATCTTGTATGTACATGTGCCTGCTACTTACTGGAAAACATCGATCCAGCAATGGTGTTTTTAACAATCAAATGAATGTATGCCACTTATAAGCTTCATACCACAATCAAGGTACAACCTACAATCTTACTGAACTTCGCAGTAAATGTTTTCTCTACCGCAGATCCAAGATTTGGCCTATCGTGCCTGGGACAGGTGAATGTTGAATACGAGAATGATCAGGATGTGATGATTCAGTTTTATAAATTCGTTGCAAGGTAATCTCTTCTGCCCATTTATGAATTTAAACTTGTAATTGGAAATAGCATTCAAATAGCCTGCTTGGATAAGTAGTTGTTTCCTTTTTTTAGTTTATATGAGGATTCAACCAAGTGATGAAGTTGTACAAGGCCAAAGTTTTTATGGCCACCTAAACCTTGTGCTTGTGTTTTTGTTTCTTGCATTTCGTTCATCGTGACTACATTTTGTTCTTAAGTAAGTAAATCTCTGCACCATTTTTAGGATATGTTAAGATGCTGTTTTTTTTACTCTGTAACTTCGGTTATCGATTTGAAAGTTGTCTGAGTTTAGCTGGTGAAGGATTCTAGAGTCTAGTGAGTTGTAACTTAGTAAACCTTGGGGTAGTATGCGTTACCTTAGATATTGGGTTGAAAGCGCAAATCTTACCTTTAAAATGTGGGGAAGGACAAAAGCAAAGGTTCTGATATTTATATAGTATGTTGCTGTAAGTACTCATCTGCAAAATGGCAGGGAGGAGATGGCCTGCGATGAAGCTGAGCTTGGAGCAGATGAATTTGCTGAAAGGATGCATAGTCAAGAACAATTACAGGAACAGGTAATGTATGTCCAAATATGACAATTGAAATGTTAAAAGTTTATGTTTCTAAAGCACCAGAAGTAAATTTTCTTTTTTCAGCAACTGGAGATGCTAAAGCACATGCGTAAATTTCCCATGGATGATCAATCTGCAATCCTCAAGAAGGTATGTAGGCTGTATATAATCTCTTAGCTTCCGCTGGATCAAAAATTTGGAACCTAAATGACCGAAAGATTGGTTTCATCTGACTAAATTAGAGATTAAGAAGGCGAATGCAAACGTCTTGTCGAAATTCTAATGGCTATTTGGCATGTGATTTACAAAGAACAAAGCCAATGTATGTTGTTTTGTTATCACAGTTGCATCAGCAGATGGAAAACGCCAACTTTGATGGTGCTGCATCTGTTTTGTCACCGGAGCAGATTCAGGAGACTGTTCGAAGGAGGGTGTCTCCTTTATATAACCCGAGATAGATTGGGATATGCATCGGTGATGCAATGTAGTTTGTACTTTGTATTTCAGACTCCAGTTTAAGTATCAATGCATTTTAGTTATTGAGTAACTTGGAAACCAAATTCGAGTTATGAGCTGCGGCGTTAGAGAAAGTATCTAATTCCTTTGGGATCGAAATTGAGGATGTGGTGCGTTGGATTTCTGAAATGCCTGAAAAAAAAGTTACCAGAGGTGTTTCTGGACAACTACGTTTGAATACAAATGCCAAAGACCTTCCCGAGTGAAAAATAATAGGAAGAAAAAGGAAGGAAAATGAACCCGAAAAAGGTCCCACCGAGATTTGAACTCGGGTTACTGGATTCAGAGTCCAATGTCCTGACCACTAGACCATGGGACCAACTTGGTTAAAGCTGGACCTCTTACTAATATAAACGAAGGAGTTAAAATAACAGTTTAAATTTTGGTAAAGTTATTGTTGAATCTGATTTTTCTCCTGGTGTTTATCTGATCCATTTCATCATCAAACACTTATACAAAGTGACTAGGGTTGCAAGTCGCGGATTATTTTGTTTTATTTTATAAATGATAGGATAATATGCATTACATTCGGGGAGAGGGATTTGAACACGAAACTTTAGTTGCTTGAGTAAATGTTCTTAACTAACTGAGTTACAAACTACTTACAATTATCTTGCTTATTTGAGTCATGCAAAAGCGATGCGCTTTCACATCTTGAATGAATCTCCGCTAAAATATTTCGAGATTTTAGACAGGAATATACATGATCTTGTTATAAGCTCCTTTCATACTCATTTATGATGAAATGCGTGCATGGAAGCAGTGACGGATTTAGAATTGGAAAATGATCAATCAATCTTGTTTGATTGACAATCTAGAATTATTAGAAGAAAATAAGAAGACTAAGTAATAAATTCATTTCAACTTTATATATAAGCGTTGCTCGCTTAAAATCCTCATTTTAAGAACATATGAAATTCGTTTTAATTTGAACTCTTGGATTAATCTAACGCATGAAACCCTTCTTTCTTCTTCCCCTACCCGTGACTCTCCCCTCAATTCCCTCTCTCTCCCTCCCCTTCCTCCGTGTGGGTTTTTTTATTTTTTTCATTATTGCATATGAAAAAGGATAGAGGAACAAAAAGAAGATTTAAAAAAAAAATGCATAGATGTTAGGAACAAACGCTTCGGGACGAAAGAAGTTTTTTACTTTGATTTAGTTTTTAAATTATTAGTTCACCAACCCAAAACAAAACGAGATTCAAATATTCAAACGAAACCTTGGACAAGCAACCAATACACAAAACAAAACGAGATTCAAATATTCAAACGAAACCTTGGACAAGCAACCAATACACACACACACACACACACACACACATATATTACACTTTTTGCTTGTTATGTTGGATTACACAAGCAACCAATAAGCGTTGAGACTACTAATTACCAAACTTGTGGTTATGGAGAAAGACGTGGCATTGAGGCCAAAAGTCGAACGGTACATATAAATTTACAAGGTGTATCCACTACACATGTGTTAAAATTTAAGCTCATTCAACGATCATAAATAAGGTAGTAAGCATTGCTATCACTCGAGGGTGGTGAGCAAAAATATTCTTAATTTACACTCTTAACTCAGAGAAATTTCATGCAATTAAGATGCTTCATGATATAATTGTATTGTGCTACTTGTTGAATAACTCAAAGATACTAGGTATGCAAAAGATAAAATGTTCAATACGCTAGCAAACAAAATTAGTCTGACTTTGTGTGCTTAATACATATTATATATAAAATGTTCGTTTAAATTATAGCACACCAAATTTCAAAAACAGAAAGTTGGACCGAAAGGTTATTTTACAATTTTTGGGGTTGTTACGTAAAGATTCCATCATCCCAAATAACAGTTTGAATTTTGATAAAATTATTGTTGAATTTTAATAAAGTTCATTTCAACATTGCGTATATTTTACACTTTTTGCTTGCAAAGTTGAATTACATAAGCAACCAATAAGTGTTGGGATTACTAATTAGCAAATTTGTGGTTATTTGGAAAGTTGTGAAATTGAAACCAAAAGGCTAACGGTCTCATGTTTCAAAATATTTTTAATTTTTTCACGTGACATTGTGTGACTAATTTGAGATAATGCCACACTTTACACCTCAATTACGTGTAATTATTCTTCACATTTTGCAGTTGTGCTCTCCAACTAATTGGTCCTCTTCCTCTTGTAAAGACATATATTGTAATTGAATTGTTTCATAATGACTACTCGTTGATCACGAGAAGAGATTTTTTAATGTGACCAGTACACGGGATGATACATCATTTGTCACTATACAAATGGTGGGATATGTGAGCTAAAAAGTTAATAACTTAAAAAATAAAATTTTCCATCACTTCTATTAAAACATGTAGTGTACCACTTATGTTCTCATCACAACTAAAAATTTCTTGATCACGAGGTATTTAAACTAGTCCATGTTCGCTGATTCATTGCTGATATATATTAAGAAGAATGATTAGCGATAATCAACTATAAATATCCATGCACTAACCATCTTCGTTTGAATTATTGCTCATCAATTAATTTTTATATACACATGATCCTCACTCCAAATCTTCACATATATTATATACTGAATTTAAAAACATAGGTTTATTTTTTATTGTTCAAAAACAAGTATTTAAGTTGAACCCAGAACCACATTTCATCATATCCACATTCAGTTATGTCTCTTGTAATCCAAACACCCGATTTAGGCTATTTTCCTCTTTTCCCTTCTGTCCTTCTCTGCATCCTTGTTATTTTTCGCAAGAGATCTCAAGCTCGAACCTTAAAGTCTCCCCCAGGGCAATGGAAGCTACCTGTTATAGGAAACCTGCATCATATGGTGGGTGCATTGCCACATCACATATTGGCAGACTTAGCCAAGAAGCATGGACCCATCATGCACCTAAAGCTGGGACAATTAGAGGCAGTGATAATTTCATCCTCCAAAGCAGCACAAGAGGTGTTGAAAACACATGAGCTCACATTTGCTCAGAGGCCTCAGGTTTTGGCTGTGGAAGTCATGTCATATGGACAAGCTAGCATTGCCTGTGCTCCTTATGGAGATGTCTGGAGAGAGCTGAGGAAGATTTGTGTTTCCGAGCTCTTAAACCCAAAGCGCGTGCAGTCTTTCAGGTCGATAAGAGAGGAAGAAGTGCAGATTCTTGTCGAGTCGATTGCTTCGGTATCACGGTAAGGACGACTAGGCTTTAATTTCAGCGAGAAGTGCTTCGGATTTACAGATGGCGTTGTGTCCAGAGCAGCATTTGGGAAGAAGTGCAAAGACCAAAAGGAGTTCACGTCGTTGTTGGAGGAAGCAATTAAACTGGCAGGAGGGTTTGACATACCTGATTTGTTTTCTTCACTCAGATTTGTTGGTTATCTTACCGGGACAATCCCCGCTATGATAAAGTTGCGTGACAAGATCGGGAAAATCCTCGAAAGTATCGTCGACGATCACAAGATCAAAAGATCAGAAGTTTTCAGCAGTACAGCAGGCAATGACAAAGCAAAGGACGAAGAAGATTTTGTTGATGTGCTTCTAAACCTTCAGGAGTCTAATAAGTTGGAATTCAACTTCACAGTCAATCAGATCAAAGATGTTGTTATGGTATGTAAACCCTACAATTAATTATGAATGTTCATGGATTATCTAGTCCGGCTATATTGACGTTTGTTCTTTATTTAATGTCATTCTGCTTTGTATCAGCGATCAAATATGTTACTATGAGCCGTAGAAACGAATGTTCAATTAAATAATAGATTGCGATTTGCCATCACTAATGTATCGATGTTATTGGCATGCAGGACGTTTTTTCTGCCGGGAGCGTGACTTCAGCGACCACCTTAGGGTGGGCAATGTCAGAGCTGATGAGAAACCCTAGAATCATGAAGAAGGTCCAAGCTGAGGTGAGACAAGTACTTCAAGGAAAGACAACCGGAAGATTTGAAGAAACAAATGTTCAGAAAGTGGAGTATTTGAAATCAGTGGTGAAAGAAACCCTAAGGCTGCACCCTCCAACCCCATTGCTCCCAAGAGAAGCAAGGGACATGTGTTGAATCGGCGGATACGATTTGCCGGCCAAATCAAAGGTTATTGTTAATGAATGGGCATTAGGAAGAGATCAAGAGAGTTGGGGAGTGGATGTTGAGTCTTTTAGGCCTGAGAGGTTTGAGGGTTCCTCCGTTGACTTTCGAGGGTTTGACTTTGAGTTCATTCCGTTTGGGGCCGGCAGGAGAATCTGTCCGGGAATATCATTTGCTACTTCGCTGATTGAACTTGCTCTTTGTCAGTTGCTCTGCGACTTTGATTGGGAACTGGCCAACGGGATCAAGCCCGATGATCTTGACATGACTGAGACTTTTGGAGTGACATGTAGAAAAAGGAAGGACTTGTACCTGATTGCAACCCCGCGTTTTGCTTCAGTCAGTAGGTCGTAGTGGCTCGGTGTGCTGGTTGTTTGCCATGGCGGAGTCAACTGCTCCTGACGTCCAGCCTATGGCTTTTGCTTTGGTTTTTTTCCATTTGGTCACAAGTGTTTGGTTTGCTACTGTTTGCATGTTTGTGCCAAAACAATTATCAACTTTGTATATGAATAATATTCGTCAATAACTTAGGAGGTGTTATGAAATAGGAAACTTTGTACTTAAGTTCTTAAATCTTAACTTGATTTAGAGAAAAACTTGAGTAGGGCAGCCTAATCAGTTGTATGATAAGACACTCTTACAAATAAACAGACTTATTGTATTTGAGTATTATCCGACCGAAAGTAGCTACAACTTCCCAACTCACACGGACCTAACCCTTATGAGTTGGCAAGACATCTCTACTCCAAGTTTATCTCCTTTATCAGAATGGCTAATTATGATCGCTTGAACAATTATAAAAGAGAGAAGAATAAAGGTCTTCAAATCAAATTATTCAAAGCCCAACTATAGCACACCAAAAACCTTCTCGTGGATGAAGGCTTGTAGCTCAAGCCCAGTGGACTGGTATAAGCGGCCCAAATAAAAATTAGAACACACTGGGCGGGGA